CCAACTGCCCAATCACACACCGCTAAATAGAAAAGTCGCGCGTTTGTACTGTATTCAAATCTGTTATGACAACGAATCCACTCTAGGTCTACTTGTGAGTCCATACTGAGTCTTCGATCCTTCTTGGTTTTGTTTGGAGAGTGGCCATGATGACTTATACTTGCGTACTTTAAATATACGTCCATCAAAGAGTTGTTCTAGAAGTGAGTGACAGTGTTGACAGAAAGAAAACAGTTATCATTGTTTCTTGCTTGGACACACAACTCTTTGATAAGATACCGTAACTTATGCAAGGCATGCTTTTTTTTTATTGCTGTCCGTTGCTATGCAATCTATTCTAGAAACGGGAATCTACGTCCATTTGATGAATCTGGTTATGTTACATACTGGAATATATGATCTGATTCCCCGTACGTGCGCATGTTCCCGGATTATGCCTTGTATCTTCTTTCTTTTTATCTTTTCTTTCTTCTCATCTTTTTAGCAGTTTCTCTCTCGTTTTTTCACTCTTGTTTCTTGTGAGCTTCTGGACTGCCTCTAAACTTTCTGCTATTCTGCTCTTATAGTTGTTAATTTACGGAGTAGTGTGAGTTACTGTTGGTGTACTCAGTACGCTTTTTCATTGCACCAGTCATTATTATCACGGCTTTTTAGAACTTACTCCTTCGAGTGCCCTCAGATTGGTGACACATATAGCTTCATCTGCCCGGGAAGTAGATGCTAATATTATGTGATATTGCAATATGTAATTTGACGTGATGCCACGTTTCTCAGAACTGCGCAGCATGACGCGCAGTACACTTTAAAACTATGGAAGTACACTTGGACTTGAAGCTACTTTCCAAGCCTCATTCCGGTCTGCACGGAAGCCCACTGTTGAAGACATAATTGTAGTCTGACAGTGATGTGATCTACAGAGATCACGCTGTCTTGAACGTCTTCTTGAAATGTAACATCTCTTCCTGTCCAGTATCCTGCTGGGGGGTGTCCTGGATCTCGATCTATAATACCATTTCTTGATATACTTTACACTTCTTTGTTACATATTCAGCTTTCATGTTGTCGCCTTCATTGCGTAATTGTATGTCCATGTTGGAGTATTACGTTCCACTGTGATTTGCTGATGTGCATTTGTACTAGTGTTCATGCCGGATTCTAAGGTCTAATGTAATTCAATGATGATCATTTGCACCAGTTTTATATGCGTTGCAGGGACAAAAGAATCAATGATTTTAGTGATTTTAGTGAAGTTCTGCGTTAGACACAGGTTATGATCTCTGTATCGTGGATGTAACTTATTTTCTTTTTTTTCCTACAATTCTTGGTTACTGATCTCAAGTTTATGTTTTGATGTAACCTAAAGTTGATCTCATGTCTTTCGTTCTGTATCACTGTTGTGGCTTAAGAGTTTGTTCTCCAGATTTTGAACTTGACAGTCGTCTCTAACTAATGGCAAGCCGGATAAGTGCACTATGCTCCTTGAAGTTGTCAAGTGCAAGCGCAGGTGTTACTCTTAAAAGAAAATGAAGGGGTAAGTGCAATATTGCAGATTTTGGATAAGTGTAACTTACCCTTTCTCCCGAAGTCTCTACAAACAAGTTTTCAAATGCAGATTTGCTCTCGTAAATAGTCAATTTATTAGTAAAATCTCAAGGTGATCAAGGTGTCATTAGATATATTTATCTGAGAGTCTTTTGTGATTTGCTTTTTAAATTAAGGTTCCCATCTCTTTAGTAAGAGCAATTTGTAGGTCCTGTGCACTTAGATAAATGCAATACCTGGATAACTGCGACAAGCTAGGCTACTCCCAAGGTGTTGCACATAGAGAGAGTCGACTGTACATCCTTGACAAGTACTTACGGCTACAGTCCAAGTTTAGACTTCCACATTCGTGCAGAGATTGTATATATCTAGATTTGAGCGTTAATATGTGGTTCTTTTCAGCACCTTGTCGCTATATTAGAAGTATCAGACACCTTGTTCACATTCCTGACTAAAATATGCATAGCTTTCAATATATTACAAATTGTCACCACTCTCTGAGCTTTTACTATAACAGGTCCGTGGATGCCAAAGGTAGACCGGATTATCCATCATTTGGTTGTTTATGTTCTCATCATCTACTGTAGTGTGTATGTGTCCTCTCCTCTCCTTCATCCATGATTTCTGGGTTCACACTCAGCCCTTGCAAGTGAGTCATGTCTTTTGCAGGTGGTGAATATTATGGATGTCCGCTAACATATTCCCTTTGAAGTTCTGCAAGTTTTTTGTCACAGCAGAAATACATGTTTTTGATCTTCATATGGAGAATTTGGTTTCTTATCCTTCACCAGGTCCAGACAGACAGGCGGTGGCTACCTTGCACTTTCCTTATTAAAATTTAGGTACATAAAACCGGAAGACCAGGGTTGTCGGATTTGGATCCTTCGATTGGAACATGCTTCGGCAGTTGCTGAGGTGATGGAATCAGTTCTCGATAAAGTTTTACAGAAAAGTTCAGGTTTCTCGCTGGTAAACTGTCATAGCTTTCTAATTTCTAATTCCGTGTACTTGAAACTGATGATAGTTGCAAATGTTTCAATAACTAAGTCTTTGGAATTGTAATGCCCCAAATGTTCGTTATTAAAGTCACTGGAAATTGTTTCAAAAGGTTTAAACATTGTTTGGTCTGTGTGCTCTCTTCGTACTTTTACTTGACTGGATGTTATAAGCCCCTTATATGCTTATATATTTCTATATTTACTGTCTTCAAGGTCTCTCTTACACATTCAGAAAGTTCATGTGGCTAAATTCAGTTATTACAGTAATTAGAAAATCTCATATTCATATTCAGTTGTAGCTCTACACTGATCATGATCAAAATTAACACGTGATAATAACTTTTTTGCAGGTGGAGAAGTTTTCGAATCTTTTGTGTTGAACGTCTGGTCTCACAAATATTCAGCCTCTGGGGAAGTTTGTGAATCGTTTTTCGTTGCTCTTGATTATCGTTCCACTATTCTGTTCGTTTTACTGTGACTTGCGAGTGAGGTCCACTGTTACTATCGAATGTAAAGGTTACTTCTTCAAATTTCCTTATTATGTATTTGAACTATCACCTTGAAACATGATAACTCGGAACTCTAGTTTGATTATTGGTAGTGGGTATGTGCTGGGAGTACTTACCTATAGGGAGGTGAGATTCTGTATATGTGAAATTTATTGGATAGTAATAGTAAGATTGACAATGACGTTCATTCTAGCCAAATGGACGCATTTGAATTTGGATTACACTTGAAACCATAAGCCCCGGCCCTTGACATCTTCTTTGAAAGGAGGAAAAATAACAGTGGAGATAAACAAATGAGACCAGTGAATCATGTCCGAGAATACTAAATGCGTCACAAATGCAGTTGTGTTCGGAAAACCACATTAAAGGTCGGAAACCATATTAACACTAAGCTTCTGTGCCCATCCGAAATATGGTTTTCTCGATGCGGAAAACAACTAACCATTTGTGCACTTCTTAGTGCATCATCCATAACACTCCTCCGAGTCTGAGCTGAAGGGAGTCACTTTCATGTACTCTCTTCGTGGCAAGGAATTTTCTGACGTCTAAACAATATCACGGCATGAACAGCACGTTTTATTTTGTTGCACTAACTCTTTGCGGTTTTTTGTATTAATACAAAATCATAAGCTATGGATCTCAAGATATTTTCATCCATTTCCGTGACCTGATAGTAGGGAGCATGGAATCTTGTGGCTTATTGTCTTGGTACTCCCGGGTAGCTAAAGGGTGGGAGTCATGGGATGGGTCCAGAAGCTTATTAGGATTTAATCACCATGAATCTCCACAAGTCACTTGATTGCATCTGTTTCCTGATTATCTTGAGTGAGGATGTTCTCAGGATTTTTAAGACTGACGCATCTTAACTCTTTCACTCAGCAATTAAGATGGTTGTCTCGAGAATTGTGCATATATATAGAAGTGACTTGAAGTACGAAGTGCTAGTGTCTTTGCAAACTTTTTTTTTTTTTGTTGGGAAACCAAGTAATAGAAAAAAGGATGGGAAGACCCCATCAAGTATTTACATGGATGAAACAAAAGGGGGGTAACATGGGCTAGGACTAGGGAGTGATTTTATATAGTTAATGCAAAATTTGTAGAAATATAGTAGAGGAAATTGACCGCACCAAGATAAATTCTCTCATAGCAGCATCAAGTACAGAAAGTGCTAAGACGACTAGTAGCGAAAAATTGCAGAACTACGTTTCGTTTTCTACCTACCGAAGGGGGAGGTTGGCATGTCCGTTTTACTACCCACTCCAACAGAGTTGAAATTCCCTTAGCCTCCTCATCAAAAGGCGTGATGCGCTGCAAGCACAAATATCAAGTGAGATGGTATAAGTCAATCTAACGGCTCACATGGTTTTCACATTTTATTCACTTTGTGAATGTGATGAAACAAGCATTTACATATTATCTGTTGCTCGCAGTTCATTTGCACCAACCCATCCAAGTTGTACTTGAGCCTAATGGCTAGAACAGTAGATGCTTTTCAAGCCCTGATGAGGTGATTTGACTTGTGTATTGATAATGATACGAAGCTCATCTAGCGAAGGCCTTTCCCTTCCTTAATAAGACAAATGAGACGTTGCACCCAATGACATTGTCCTCTAACTTATGTAGTCCAACTTTCATCAGCTTTAACCTCTTTCCTCATTTCAGATGCAAAGCAACAAATTTTGGCAATTGAATGTCCATGATCTAATGGTAATGCCAAAGGACATATCGTGATCATACCATGACGAGTCTCTATCATAGAGATTGATCATGAGAGGTATTAGTGCCATCTTGTTCCCTTTTCCATTCGGGCTGGGTGCCTTTTCCTTTTTTCACTTCAGGTTTGTTTTGTTTGTGGTGGATTCGCCATTTTTCACCTTTTCTTCTGGGTATAGGTAGGGCTTAACTTGTTTCTTAATTTTTGTAAACGCCATAGTTCTAGAGTATTGCACAGAGGTGATGTAGCTCAGATGGTAGAACACTCGCTTGTCATGCGAGAGGTGCAGGGATCGATGCCCCGCATCTCCACTGGAGTTATGTCAGAGTAGCGAAAGATGCTTCGCTGCTCTCGGTGGTTTTATTACTTTCATGAATGGGTGAGTCATTTGTGCCTCCTCAAGCAAGAGGACAAATAAACTGTTGGGCAGCCAACTGTACTGAAACTGCCATCACAGTGTACTGCCAGAAACAAAAACGCAATGTCTTAAATACTTATCGTATTTTTCCTTTCTCTCTCTTTGTATATGAGGACAAAGTTTATGTTGTGTTCCCAACGAGATTGTACCGGGAGTGGCATTGCATGCCGAGACTTGGAATTACTGATGAGTCTCGGTGGAGCATCCATCATGTGCAGACAGAGCCCACATAGTACAAGAATTAATCAGGTCATATCGTGTAGTACAATTTCAGCACACATCGCGTCACTGTCCTCATCATTTTGGAGAAACAATGAAGCTCCTGCATTTTCATATTCTATGCGGCCAGACCCCACAGAGGTACAGCTTTACCTACTATATGGAATTTTGTTGTATACTCGATCAAGAAGTATCAACATATGGGGCTCGTGAAAACTCGAGGTACAGGACTTTTCGCCCCCACACCTCCTTGTGTTTGCAGCTTGGAGTTACTGAGACGTTTGGTCAATAACCTACCTTCTTAGTACATGCCAAGCTTTGTTGTTTTGCACCTCCCCTATGCTGGCTTGCTCGCTTGCTGCCGTAGGCATGTCTTTGAGGTTAACGAGTACCTTCATCACCAGTTGGGTTTTAGTCCATTCGCAGTTTCACATCCTCTGATACTTACGTAACCCTCAGACTTGTAGCAAGTTGTTGGAGGCTGGTTTGGTTTGGTCTGGTTCTTTCAGTTGCTTGAACGACAGACAGTGTGTTGCAGATTCTTTTGGTTTGGTTGTGAGTATGGGTGGTGTCATGGCTCGAGCAAATGGTAATGCGCGATCAGTTCAGCCCGTTTCCCCAATATTGCTCTTCGGAGAAACGTCATAAAGGTCACATTCATCAATCAGATCAAACGTTCCTGACTTTCACTGCGCTGGCTGTTGCCAGATTCAGTGAGAAAGTCGGCCAAAGTACACAACTGTTTCTGGAAAGGGTTCACGCGAAGGAGTACCAAATAAAATAGCAAAAAGGATGGGAAGACACCATCAAGTCGAAAACGGATGAAACTAAAGGGGGTAAAATGGAGCTAGGCCCCAATGTTAATGTCCTTCATGTTCGAAGCTTCTCTTTCTTGAGTGAGTGACTGAATGACTAATCACCGTCCTAAACTGCTTTTCTTTCTTGACTGGCTGGCTCATCATCGTTATGATCTGCTCTCACTTCTACCGTGTATTGTGAAACCTGCTCCACAACCTTTTTAGCATCCCCATTTTCATTTCCACCATCAAACACATGAATATATGAAATCCTAGAAACTTCAATTTCATGTAATTTTTGGAGGAGTAGTAATATAGCAAAAAGGATGGGAAGACACCATCAAGTCCAATGATGAAACCAAGAGGGTAGTATGGGGCTAGCGCCACTATCATCACAATGGGAAATATGTCATGAGATATTGGAACTATCTAGATTAAACAGTCTACATGGAGCATCTAATGAGCATCACCTACCTACCATGATTGCTCTCTTGTGGATTCCACCGGTGCACTCTTCAATTTGGATACACGCTGTTTAAATAATAAGCTCGCGCACAAACTCTCTATAATAAGTAACTACATGGCTGAGTTTGCGCACACAAGCATTGAACAGAAAAAGTTGAGTAGTTACTAGGATATGTTAGTTATAAAGATGAGCTCTTATAAGCACATGAAACCTTTCAGTGGGAACATTACGGTATATGTCAAACCTGGAATCCTGGAAGATGTTCTGCTAGGATTCCAAGTTCAAGTTGGTTGTACAATGAACTTATTTAAATTTCACAATGAGGTTTCTGAAGGTAAATGAAAGCTGAGTCGATGAGAAAGACTTTTGAAAAGGTTGTACTTAATGGACAGTCCTCCTCCTGTTGCAATGATGGTCCAACAACTAGCAAAGGCTCAAAATAGTAAGGTTCAGTTCAATGATCAAAAGCTGGTCATGCTATTTCTAGCTTCAGCGAGGCCATGACACAACCTAAAACTGATTTTGCCCTTTGTTCCGATGGGGACTCTAAACTTTTCCTACAAAATATCACACAGTTATCAAAAAGTATTTTCTGCCCTTCTCATCTTAGCACTATTCTGCGAGTTTTTTCATTTTTAGGCGTACTTCAAATTCTGCTTATAATACATGCGTGTTGGATCTTATAGATGTAACTCGGTTCATTATATTATGATACAGAACAAGGAGTATAACTTTTACGATTCCCATCCCTTTTGTTATTTAACTGTGTCTATATGAACTTTTACGATTGCGTCATTCAAGTAGTTTGTAAGAACTGAGGAGAACTTCGTGAATGGAAAATGAGAAGATAACTGATGGAAATAGTTTGAAACGGTTGAGTTTTTAGAAGTTCTTAGAAGGTTGTAGCGTCCAAAGGTTTAAGAGCAAAACTTTGGAAAAGAAAGGATGACTTCATCATGGAATTGAGATGATCATGTTTAGGTACGCTGGGTGTTTCTCTGATCCCGATGAAGTACGTCATTTCCTCATAGAAGGCAAGCATTCCAATAGACGATGAGTGCAAATATAGTACAAGACAGCTATGTTTGTTTTCATGGTTCTTAGTCATGGAAGGATGAATTCACAATGTGTGCAATAATACAAAGGGTTCGAGAGTCCTGTCGACTCAAAGAGACCAACTGCATAGTCCTGACATTGCAGTACTGACAGTGATGAGCCTCATATTCTTATGACACATGAAAGATTTCACTCCCTCACCTTCGTGACTTGCGCAGAGTCATCTCCTCGTGGTTCCAGTCGCATGTTCTTGAGATTTGCAATGGCTTCAGTTTACGTGCCACTGCAGATGTCTTTGATATGGAGGACTAGGCTCTACAGATGGATTCGTCTCGCTTACAAGAACAAATTTGTTACGTTCCTCTAAGAATAAACTTCTGAACAATAAACCAGTTGACCATGAAAGCACACAAGTAGAATTGAAACTGGATCCATCCTCAACTTAAGGCTCTTATTTGTGCTTGCTATAATTTTCCTAACATATTAACTTTAGATTATATTACTTAGAAAAAGTAAGAATCATTCTCTTACATACAATATTTTTCATACTACCTGTAATTTTTTATTTTTTTTTGCACCCTTGAAGCTTAAAGCTCAACTCTTAGAAGATGTTTTAACCATTTTACAATCTGACTTATTTCAGGTTCAGAGAACTGCATTGGAATACCAATGATGTTTAGAGCTCCATCTCCCTTTTGCCGATAATTAGTGTAAACTACACTATTTGCAATTGGACTTTTTGGATCTTTGTCCTTTATTTACTGTATACTACACCGATATACAATTATTAGAGTATTTACACTAATTACAGGTATTGTGGCATATACACTAATAAAACTACACCTTATAAGTGCAGATATTTTAATGAAAAATATAAATTAATAGTGCTTTCTTTTATCAATGTGCATATTTATTCACATGTCACATCACAATATATTATAAAAAAGTTCTTAGGGGGGGAGTTGCAATGTCTAATCTAAGTCAAAATAAATCCTTTTGCTAAAGTGAAATTTAGTGATTAAAAATATACTAGAGTTGAAGACCTCTTATGAGCCTTTAGCTTGTGCAACAAGAATTTGCACTTACGATTTTAAAAGTGAATTATACCCTCCATAAGCTTTAACATCACTCAATCTTCAAATTTTGCTCCAAATAAATCACTGAAATTAAAATAAACAATTATTTATATAAAAGGAGATGCAACCTGAAACCTGAGATGCAATCTGAAAATCTATCATAGAGTACGTAAAAATGGTAAAAAAAATCATCTTTCAAATTCGAATTAGTTTGATTGGTGTATATTACATTTATATTCACCAATTGGGGATCCACACGAATAAGAGAATTGTATGTAGTTTGGAAAAAAAAAAGAAAAAGTTGCAAGAAAGAATGAGAAAACCCTTTTTGTCACTCCTTTACATTTGTCCTCGGACAGTATGCGCAATCGAGAATTCGCTCCTTTTCCCACACTTATTTGGCATCTCTTGTTTGTGGTTCTCCATGTCTCCTATTTGGCTTCCCAGCACTCCCTATATTCCACATCAACCCAAACTGGACATAGCTTCTTGCTAGTTAGAAGTAATAATAATAATAATAAATCCTAGAGAAACCAAGATGCAAAGAATCACACTTGCTTGTCCCGGTCGTACGAAAAACAAAACAAACACGCAAGCTTGTCATAAACCAGATCCTTCCCAAGACGGTTCGGGTTGCTGTTTCGAACATTAATCTTCTCCCTATAAATGAGCGATCACCTCAATAGAAAAACTCTGACCAGTTGCTGATAAAAGTGAAAATTGCCAGTCAACAGTTTGATGGATGTAAAGGAGTAAAAATCTACAAATAATGAGAACTTGTGAAGCTTCAGAGGCGATGGACTGAAGGGTCATTAAGGAGTCAAGATCCATTTGATAGTGTGGCTTGGTAAGTGAATGCACTCACAAATCAAATCAATGACAAGGAGAGTGGATATGTCATAACGTTTTGGATATGTGTGTCTCTTGTAGTTAACCTAAAATTAAAAAATCGCCTCTCCTTTTCAGATTCACCTCTTTCCAAAATCACCAGCAGCTTGTCAATAATACATGTCCCTTTGTGTACATCACTGTTTGCTCCACTTATAGAAAGGTGAGAAAAACCAAAAGCTTACTATTTGAGTACAAGACTTTTCTCTCGCCTTTTGTTGCATCCTTTGCCAGTGGTTAAGATCAGCTGATATAAAAGGCTCGCCTTAAAGTTGAACACTGTAGAAATTTATCTCTTCTCTTGTGATTACTTGATTTTCATCTGAAGGCATTGCATGGTGCGATGGTTTGCACAAAAAGCAACTCCTATTTAATCCCACATTAAAATATAT